TACTTTTTTCGGTATAGAACAATCCTAGGGGGTGAGAGCATTAAATTTCCGATTTTACTTTTCTCCCATACATTTTTGGACCACCCTAATGTACATACCATGTATGTATTTTATAACTGTGTATTTGTGCGCCTACATTCCTAGATATTGCACTTGGACATTTGTGAGATGATGGTACAGCCTTTAAGATTCTTAACAAATAGTTAAAGGGCCAAAGATAAAAGCGCCGCATTTGACTTCAATCGTCGGATAGAGCATATCAACAGCGCTATATGTACTTACTAATATACAAACAGTGAGGGTCAAAAATAGGTACACCCTGACGTTTGAAAATTGTATTCGTTAATATTTTCCATACCAAATTTTTCGTATTTTTTTATAAAAATACCACGAAAATCATTTTTTTTTTTTAATTCATACAGAACTCGAAGAAAATGCAAAAGATTTTAAATTTTTCAATTCCATTTCGTAGAAAAATTTTGAGTGTGCAGTTTTTAGTAGCGCAAGTTGAAGTCACTAAGAATTACCGTGGATTTTTGAATTTTTTTTTTGCTGAGTGTGTTGTATACCTTATTTAAATTAAAAAAAAAAAAACCCAGTGCGTGTAGTCCCTACGCGCGGAAGAAGTGAAACTTAATAGAGGAATTTCAGAAAGAAAGAAATGTGTGATATACATACACATGTACATATTTTCTAATACACTAAATACATATTTATTTTAACGAGCTTTAATTTTTTATTTTCTATAACCAACTGCTAAGTTTAATTATTATTTTTGGCTGAGAAAACATGCATATCTACAATATTAACTAGTAGATTGTGGTAACTAAAGTAAGATATAAAAAGTTTTATTTCAATATTATTAATATTTCTAGAAAACCTGCGTAAATCGCTAATTTGGTTGTTGGAACATATCTACCAATAACCATTCCCAATGAAAAGTTTTCTTTCACAAATTTTGTCAGTTCATCATACATGTATTCGGCCAGCGAAAAGTTTACGTTGAAGTCTCCTGCGAGAATTACAGGTCGATCATAGCAGTCTACTTATTTTTATATTCATCTTCATCTTCATCTTCATCTTCATCTTCATCTTCATCTTCATCTTCATCTTCATCTTCATCTTCATCTTCATCTTCATCTTCATCATCATCTTCATCTTCATCTTCATCTTCATCTTCATCTTCATCTTCATCTTCATCTTCATCTTCATTTTCATCTTCATCTTCATCTTCATCTTCATCTTCATCTTCATCTTC